GACTGGCAACGCGCTGGTGGGGAAAGATCTAAGACCTAAGAAGCGGGAACGATGGGCCACACCACCATGCAGAGCGAAGGTATGTGACAATTATTAGAAAAGGATTAGGCAGTGCATAGCGACAGAGGTGAAATAAAGCAAGCCTAACGACAGTCGCGTTTGAGCATATTAGCAAGAGGCAAGGCACAGCACACAGGCAAGCAAAAGATAGCATGCGAGATTTGTCCGACCCGCTCTCTCCCCAGGCAAGAGGGCCACGAGGAGGCTTGCCACGACTGAGGTTGGCTAGTCCAACCTCAGCCGCCCTCACCCTTAATGACAGTAATATTACATAAAAAGAAGGAAATACCATATGAGACAAAATAAATCTTACCCTTGCAACATCCAGTGCAAATTTGAGAAGGTGCTTATCTAAAAGAAGCTTATCATGATGAATCTTCAGGTAGCTCTTCAGAGAACCATGTTGTACAAATTCCATGACAAGACTAACTTCTGGCTCATGGACCACTCCCTTTATTTGAACCACATTAGGATGTTCAAGAGTCTGATAGCAAAAGAATTGATTAAATTACATAAAATAAAACAATTACCACAAGAGCAAAAATAAAATAATCTTACTTTCATGATGTTAATCTCTCGCTCAAAATCTGCTAAGGTAGTACTTAGAGCATCAGTCCTTAATTTCTTCACTGCAACAAGTTCTGCTTCACAGTCCAGCCTCTCCAATGTTCCTTTGTATACCTCACCATAAAAGCCCTGAGGGAATTAAATTAACAATGTGTCGAGGATCCTGTTTTTCTAAATGCAAGCTTTTGACGAAGCTTACCAACACAAATTTGATACAAACCTGTCCAATGCGCCCTTGTAAGACAACATTAACATCTGGCCCAAGCTCAAATACAGATGACATACTTTCTAAAGAGGTAGCGGCCGTTGAAAATGTCATATTTGAAAGCATTGCTGATATATTTGGTGTCATTGATTCATAAATACCAATCAATGGCTCCTAAAGAGAAAGAATGTTAAATCTAGAGATGTTCAAATAAGACACAATAGTAGTGCGTACTATCAACTAGTACGTACCTGTGAGTCTCCCAAGATCATATTACCAAACAGATCACTACCACTGCTTTGTGAGAAGTTATTGAAAAATGTGTGGCTGGAAATCAAGTTGCCGCCTCTTCCAGAATCTAGTAACGTTTCAACTAAAAGAAGGAAAAGATAGATTTTCTAGATATGTATAAATAAAAGTTTAACCTCTCCACCCCAATAAAGAAATAAATAAAACCAAATTTACCAGTAGCACCAGATAACATGCTGATTTCAGAATCACTTATACTGCATGTGTCAAGAGCTTGTTCTTTAAATCTTTTAGGTAAGGCGACGGAATATGAATGAGTTCGACGTGAGTTATAAACTGGAAGTAGATACAGAAAAAATTGAACAGCATCTGCTTTGAAGGGTGTGATGTTTAAGTAGCTTATGACTTTACCTTGATAAAATATCTGATTGATATCACGCATAACAGCCTGTGGTTTCTTGCGACAATTAGCATCTACTTCCCAGCACTCCTTAATTAGTTGGAAGACATCTTGAGTGCATAATGGTGGACATGGGAGAGTTCCTCCACTAAGATAATGCTGAAAGAGAGTAGAGTGAAGGGGAAGTATAATTTGGCTCTGGGTGTTCTCTTCCTAAAATGCAGTTGATTAGAATATCTACCTTTTTGATGCTGTCCACATTTAAAAACTCTGGAATTGAGTCAGCAAATGCAAAAATTTCCCACATGGTTGTACCACATGCCCACACATCTGCTAGTAGACTACTGAGAGCACTTTCTAAATCGTGGTAACATTCAGGAGGAATCCAGTGAATGCTAAAAAATGCAAGTGCAACAAAAAATGCATTTGAACATATACAAATATTTCATAAATTGAAGGTGGTGATATTGTACTCACTCATAAATTGTGTACACAGGGAGTCCTGGATCTGCTAGCTTGATAGAGAAGGTTTGATCATCATGTACCGCAAGAAGCAAATTCTTGCAGCGGATATGTCCATGAATCATACCATTCTCTTCCTATTGGGTAGAAGGGTGTTAGTTTGAAAAAGCTTTCTGTTTGTAATTATAGTATATCTTGTGGTTATTATCCACTTACAAGATGCCATAAGGCTGATGCCAGATTTGCACATGCTTCAACAAGATCAATAGCTTTAATAACTTGACGGTTTTCTTTAAGATAAATATCAAGAGGACCTAAAGGAACGTCTTCCATGACTAGTGACACAGGATTGTTGATTACAATACCCAAAAGTCTGACAGTACACGAAGAGTGAAGCAGTGCCCAGCTCCTTGCCATGGATGCCCACCTATCACATTCACGACTAAAATTCTACAAAAGAGAGAAAAGTGTGTTGTACATAAATATTTAAAAAAAACAAAAAACAATTAAGTACAAATTTTTGAGGCAATTGGTATACAAAAGACAAACCTGTGGGTGATTTTCATAGTGTTGTCTTTCCATAGATTTGACAAGCACATTCACTTCTTTGAATTTTCCTTGTTTCCAAATGCCATTTCTAATACTCAGCATACTTCCAGATTGTCCAATTTGATAGTCTAAAATCATTATAAAATTTAGCAAAGTGACAAAAATAATGTGTAAGTCAGATTTAAAAGTCAAAAAAATAAAAATAAAAATACTACAGAAAGAAAGTAAGGTCTTACTATTTGTTAGGCGGATAGATTTTGCGTCAATAACAAAGGGAGCAATAACTTGTTGATGTGCCATTTCATGTTCTGTGGACTCCTTCCTACATAATAGTAGCCATGATAATTCTGAAATAAAATCAAAAGTAATTCAAAATAAACCTTTCATGGGCAAATACAATATAATTTGTAGAACTGGGTGAGTAAATAAATACAAACCAAATTCAGACGGTGGCAAACATTCCTTCAGCCAAATATCAGAGCCCTCTACACGATGAGATTTTATCAGTTCACGCATGGATGAATAAGAACTATTGTCATGTGTCAGTATAAACACACTTGACCTCACACCTTCCTCATCCTTGAGGTGTTCAGCCTTTATTGTGTACGACTTAGTTTTTGATTTTGTTTTTTCTTTGGTACTGAAAAAGGTTGTTCAAATATTTGGGGCATGACAGAGTTATTCATAACATAAAAAGAAGCGTTCATTAACTTACCTAATTTGGCAACACACATCTAAATAAAAGGTGTCATACTCCGTTTCACTTTCTCTCAGTAGATAGCAGCCTGCATCATTGTCTCGTTTTTCTTTCAATTTATTGTATGAAAATTCTTTTCTGAAATGTATATATAAAGAAGTATGTATGAATTTTTTTTAAATCATAAGTAAAATATTTTTCCATTTTTGTTGTTGTTGTTTTAAATATATGCTTACCCAACTGGTCCATGACAGTTCATGGACTGCAGTGCTTGAAGGGAAGGTGTTCTGACTTCTTTGCAAAGATTAAATGTCCAATTTATCATAAGACGGTAATACCCATCTAGTAAACTGACAAAGGAGATCATTATTGAAATAAGGGGAAATTTCATATGAGATGGAATACCATTTTTTCTAGATATTTCAACTGTATTATCAAATTTCACTGCAATATAACATAGGTCATCTATCCCACATAGGTGTGTCCACTACAAAAAAAAAGTAAATTAATATCACAAATTTGTCAATACCAGTTTTTTTCTGACAAGAAAAGATATAAAAACTTACATCTTTTTTACCATCTGGCTTTACTTGAATGCCTGGATGTTTCTCATCATAGGGGTCTACCCGCACTGATAGAGTGCGATATTCACTACCATCACCAGGAAGAACGGTGAACTCTTCAGTTAAATATGATGGTGCCATTTCACGGAATTGCTCAATCCATCTACGTTTGATGTACAAATAATCCAAGTTGTTTTCTTCTATCTTACTCAAATACTCTCGGATAGGTTTCTTTAAAAATATTGAGTGGTAATTTTGAACCTTCTTAGGAAAAAACTTCTTATAATCTTGAACAACCGTGGAAATATCAACTCTTTTTTCAAGTTTGAATAGATACATATCAGTTATAGCAAGACCAACAGCCTCTTTTTTTTGGTCTTTCTTATCATATGATATATCTGGCACTTCTCCATCAACAAAATCTCTTCGAGCTTGATGGAAAAAGTAGTCATAAGCACCACCATCAATTTTTTCCAAGCGCTCTGGTTGAGGAACTTTAAATCTCATGCGAAAAAGTAACACATTGGACTTAAGCTGAGACAGCAAAACATTTGGGCCCAGGAAAACATTTTTATCTTGCAAGCGAAGCGCAAAGAGGTATCTGGCCACAGGTCCAATTTTAAGGTCCTTTGATACTTTGATACAGACATCTTCTGCTGTGGTGGTGGCATCAATACTAACTTGCAGAGGCTCATCATTCACAACTGTTTGTACAATCACACTATCCATCCCGTTGGCCACAACCATTCTGCTTCATTACCAAAACAAATACTTCACCACAAGATAAGGCAACACCTTTGGTTAAGCACCTACTGATGATAGGCACGCCATACCCTGCGGCTCGTCACATTTCCCGGAGAAAGAGAAAGCAAATTGTGTATCAATCAGGATCTATATCAAAACTTTCTTATGACGACGTAGTCTTCATTTTGGTCCAACGCCTATCTTAGACTGCCTTTTGGCTTGCCTCCTTCTCATGTAAACACCTTTCTTTTCTTTTCAGCAACGTTTGGCCTCCTGGGTTTCGGCTGCGTCCGCAAGTCCGCAATGCATGTCCGTCCTTTTCTACTTTTACCAACACCTTAAGGGAGCAAGCTAACCCTAAAAAAAACAATTCGGACGCGGCCCTCCCGACCCTGGCGCCCCCAGCTGTTCGCCGGCCGTACTAACGGACGGGGATATTACGGGATATTTTGGATAAATGTGGGATCAACGTATCGCGAGAAAAAAGATAAAGGAAACGAAAGGATTCGTGGATTAACTAAGGGACGGTCTGAAGTAAACCTACCAAGGAGTAAAAATAAGACTTCATTGGCATTTGCTGCCCGTGCCATCCCGTGCTACGAGGACAGGTGGTCGGTTTGACTATAGCTCACCTCATCCTCAAGACTGAAGCCACTAGGCAGCTTAATCATAGATGTGATTGCAGAGAAATGAAAGACAGAACGAGGACTAGCCGACTGGCCCCGGCTGTAAACGGGAGGAAAAAGAGAAGACAAAACGCATGTGGTCAGTAATACTTTAATGGGTGTTAGGTACACAATGATTCAACAGAAGATGAAGGGTACAAACAATGCAGTGTGATCAAATTCCAATTTCTATGGGCAAGCATTAATGAAGGAAGAATCATGAGGTAGTTAATAATTTCAAAACAGCAACATCCACATTTGGGCCTTACTTTCAAGTGGATTAATAAGATCTGAAGGATGGCAGGATTCAAACTAAAATGATACATTGTACATCCTGAATACTCCATCTTGGTCCCATACCTTACTTCCAACAATAAAACAGTTTGTTTAGGAGAGCAAGGGAATTCTGTATATATTTATGGGGGAAAATGAAAATAAAAGATGTGGTCTTTCACAGTTGATCAAATGACTAGTTGAGTTAGTGTCCCCTTAATATTTTGAACAAAGGTTCACTAATATATCTAAACACTCATTCGACTGTCGAAGACAACAGTCCTTGAGACAAAGATAAGAATGGGAAATAAAGCTTAAAATTCCTTCAGGTAACCATTTCCACAGTTCATTTTCATCTGAATCACAAAACTAACAGGGGAAGCACAAACAAGAACAATTTGTCTGGTAACTTGATAGTTTCCAATGCAATTACCATAAGTAATGAGATGAATTAACACTAGATAAATCAACCCCAACAAACCAATTCAAGATGTACACCATACAACAAAGTTGTGACAAATAATCTATATCACTAAGATAAATGGAAATGGTTCTAGAAAGATCTAGGGTTCAAGTCTAAAAGCTAGAATAATTTGTTTTTTAAAAAAGGAAAAATATCTGGACTCAATAGAATGTTAAAAAAAAAAACATACATAATCAAATAGTCAACGCAACATAAAATATGAGCAACATGTGCCGTAAAATTGAATATGAAAGAATAGTTGCCTAGAACTAAAACCTGACACAAATGAATCACAATGACAGTAAAATTCATTCACACAACAATAAATAAAGTAGCGTTTGTAAACCTCACTGCTACCATCTCATTCAATCTTACACTGCCCTAGGACTCACTTGCTTCTGAACTGGTGGAACTACACTGACCACCCTCCCCTCCCCCTCACTTTACCCAAAATCTGGAGAAAAGGATATTAAAAAAAAAATGAAGGCATTAAACTTTTCACAATTTATTTGTATGAAAAATTGTACATAGTACAATGCTACTCCGTTGCTTAGTTAAAATATGTTACATTTTATAAGAATTTAAGAATTAAATAGAAAAAAGTACCCTTAAAGAAGTCTGAAAGTTGTGGTTGTCTTACACTCTGTTTTAAGAATGTGTGAAAGTTAAAATGCCTCAAGTTCTACCAGTTGCAGAAGCCTGTGTCAGCCAAAAATCTATGTGCAAGGTAGCTTCTTTGAAAGATAAAATATTGTGACTACTAAATGAATGCTAACCACATTTTTGTAAGTTTTCCGCTTTTTTTGCTACAGTGGAGAATAAAGCACCACCAATTTTGATGCAGAATGGTATAAACTGCAAATTTTACTATTTTTAGAATTGTATTACCCCATAACATTTTTAATACTGCACAGCCTAGGCGTCGCCATCCTCCTCCTCTTCAGACTCTGCCTCCGCTAGCCACATAAGCCACTGATTAACCTGAAAAAGTCATACAAGGTTAAGAGTGTGATGCAACTTAACTAGGCATGTGTGATATGGAAATGGAAGGACCTTTGAGGTGAAACATACCTGGAAGAGCGCCTTTCCTTTGCCAGGATAATCATCAGAGATATCTTCCTTCCATTTGAAAAATGCTTCTTCTTCAATCACTTCCAAATCATACAGATTCACAAACCAACGCAGTAACATACCTAAAAGACAAAAACAAGCTATAGTAGCAGGCAAAATAGAAATACCAGATCATTCAAAATGAAGCAAGGGCCAGTAGTTATACCTTTAGGGAAGTTGTTGGAATAACAAAACACCTGCAGGGAGTAAACAGCAGTGACCTGCAAGTCCAGATGATTATGAAGGAACGCTTTGAGAACCAGTTTGTATTTCTCTAATAAGGCCTTTTCCTTTTCTTGCAAAGCCTTGTCTGGTACAAGATTTGGATCTGAGCCCTCTCCAAGGGTTGACTCCTGTAGAGATGAGATGATTTATTAGTAAATTTGTTGGAATACAAGTGAGCAAAATTTTAAATAGAAACAATTGAACAAACCTGAGAGATGTATTTCAAGAGCACTGTCATGAGTGCATTGATAAAACCAGAATCTGTCTGATGCGCTGGATCAAGGGTCTCTTTGATCCACTTGTAGAACTGAGTTGGAACTGGATCAGCCTGAATTTGCTTCCAAAGAGCCGATTGAATACGAAGCAACGGAAATAAGAATGTCAGCCCCCTCTCCTCAAGAATCTCGGACATGCGCTCCTTGGTACGGTCCACATCCGGCAGAGTAGACATTAAGTTAATCTGTAAAAATAACAAGAGGTTATAACAGTGTAACAAAACATTAAATGAAAAGATTCATTTAAGACAATCATACCTTGCTGTCATTAAAAAGCTTGGTGATTTCAGCCTTTCCCATTTCCTTGTTGAGTATTTGCAATGTGAGCATGAAGAGAGGATAGTAGGACCCTCCTTCAGTTAACTCAGCAACATCAGAAAGTGTCATTAGCTCCAAAATGATGGATCTTGCTGCATAATTTGCAACGTGGGAAAATATTTTGGGAATTTCCTGCTCCTTATCAGACATTTGACTCACAACCTCTTTGACAGAGTCGTGGAACTGATGTAATGTCATTAAGTTCTCCTTCCGAAGAGCCGCAACGAAGTTGAGTACTTGATCTCGTTCTTTATCTGCTAGGACAATAGTCAAATTAGCCAAAACAATGAAGAGTGAAAGATCTCAGGATATAGAAGCCAAATAATCTTACCTGATTTGTCAAGAGCATGGTTAAGAATGGTGTGAAGAACAGCAGTTACAAATTTATCAGGTATTTTATGTTCTCGGTAAGCACTTAGAGCCTCATCAACACTTGCATTTTTCATATACTCTTCCATCATAGTTTGCACTTTCTTTAGAACTTCTTCTTTGTTTGGACCCTTGTCTTTCCTGGCATTCTTGTTCTTATCTTGAGAGGCTTGCTTAATGAGGATAGGCTGTTCTTTGTGAAGCAAAGGTGCATGAGCTTTGGGTGGATTGCTAATAGGCTCATTCAAAAGGTTAACACCTCTGCCAGGTGGTGGGCCCAGTACTCCGGATGATCTGGTATTGAGCATTGGTTGTTTAGTTTGAGTTTGCTTGAAGAGCATGGAATTGGCACTAGGACGAAGCTGAACTTCTTCGATGTTGGTATTGTCAGCATCATTCATCAGTTTCTTCAGACGAGGACCTAGTTCCTTCACAGAGTTGTTATTGAAGTTATGATGATTGTTGTGATGATTGTAGTTCTTCCCATGATTTTGAAAATTCTGCCCTCTGAAATTGCCGCGGTTGTTGTTATGGTGTCCATCCCTCCCACCATCTCTTCCAGAATAACCATTTCCGTACCTCTGAGAGATATGAGATTGATTAGGCCCGCCAACCGACGGGTAGCCGTAGCCTATTTCATCAAAGCCACCAGGGCGGATCTTATTAGGAGGACGGAAATAATCCGTCATTCCCAAACTTGAAACAAGGCCACCGCCTCCACCACTGCGACCAACCCCGTCACCCCCACGACTTGGAGGAGTGTAGCTGCGCGCTGGGGGGTCTGAATCATCACGGATTTGATGCATGGGCATGGGACCCTCCACAGTGGTAGCCTTTCGGGGAACCCAGTTGTTTGCACGCAGTTCAATCACATCACGCAACATGAAGCGAATTCGCCGCGGCAATTCTGAGTTTTCAGCCAGTACTTTCATACGAGTGAAGTACTGATCCATCAGCCCCCTAGCCATATCATAATCCAGGAGTCTCCCACAAGTGCACATTATCTGACTGAGGCATTCCAGATCCTCCGCTGCCTCTGTAATGATTTTCTTCTTGCTGTCCAATAGAAGTTGTTGAATGCACTGATGGAGGACCCTCTCCGCCAAGATCCCAAGTTTGCCCAATTCTCCAATAAACTGAAAACAAGAAGTTTCAATAATTATTTTGGTGAGTGAAAATAAAAAGGGAGGGGGAAGGGGGGGGGGGGAGTAATTGCATACCTTGATATTTCCAAGCATCTTTCGTTTTGCCAGCTGCCGCTTCTCTTCTTCATCTGTAGTGAGTGGGATTCCATCATTTCTTTCATAAAATTTAGTAGCTTGGGCGCGGTTTTCAAACTCTGATCGACACTTGTTCAGCAGGAGGAGTCTAAAAGTACAAGGTTTGCCTTCAGGTTCAAAGTTAGGTGCTTCTTCTGTTAGCCGCTTGCACAGCTGTGCATACATAGAACTGTACTTCGGCTCATCGAGTGCTTTCTCGAATATCTGTAAAATGAAAAAGTCAGATAAAGTTTAAAAAGAGAAAATTAAAATTTGGCTTAAATGGACCATTTGCAGTTGAACATACCAGCAAGATTACACCTTTTAAGATGGTACTGGTGTCAAGCTGTATTGCTAAGAGATCATCACTCAACTTCTGGAATTTTTCCGGTGTGAGTTTGTTGAGGATTCCTCGGACCTACACACGGACACAATAATAAACATCATTAGTACCAACAAAAGGAAAGAGACTTGAGGTTCAACTACCAGCACTAACACACACCTTCCTGAATAGGAGGTCATTTTTTGTTTCTTGGGTGAGTGCATCATCGCGTCTGATTGTAGAAGGGGGGATCCAGCGTCGCTTTGTGATCAGGGAGCGAGTGTCGTCCCTGAAACAAGAAAATTAACCCACAAATTTTAAAATTGAGAACTAAGAACTTCTATACCTCAACAGACCTAAAATAAGTAGCAAGAGTAGTTAAAGCAGTAAGTGCCAAGACAGATCTACATTCACCAATAAAAAAAGTAAAAAGATGAACAGGAAGATAGTTCATTCACATGAATTTCCCCAATGTTCTGTCGACACAGGTCGCCTAATACCTGATTTCGCATGAGGAACTTACATCCAAATTCTATTGAGGTTCAAGTTGCTTGGTAATCAATCAATCAAACACACGCCTCCCACAGCAGAACGAATCCTACTTCCTCAGCGATAATCTGAACAATACTGCCAACAATAGCCAAACAAACGGTTCAAAGTAAAATTAAAAAAAAAAGAAGAAAGCTACATTTAATAAGCCAAATTAATTAAAAATTATTCATAAGTCAAAGCCACTAATATGAAGTTATTGACTAGCTGAAGCTGAATGCATACTGACAACTGATTACCCAAATCGAAGAACAGAATATAGGTTATAGAAGTGTGGTAGAGAACAGCAATATAAGTAGTGAAAAAAAGCATCACTGCACTCAACTAGCTGAAGTGAATGATAGTTACATACCTTCCTCCTGAGACACGTGAAGCGCCCCCCGGTCCCCTGGGGCCGTCCGTTGTTGTGCGTTTGTGTGCCCCCACCCTGATAAACTGCTAGCTCCTCTCCGACTCAAGCGTGTGGGAGCTGCAAGAATTAAAAGGTCCATGAGAACTCATACAAAGTCAAAATTTGCAAATCCAAAAAGTTACAATAAAAAGGTCTGCAGCTGGGAAAACACTCAATACATACAAGTCACTAGTTCAGACAACAAACAGCAATAGCAACTTGAATTTAGAGTCAACATTCCACAATATATTTAGAAAACATGCCCAAAACACAAAACAAATCACAGCCGCGGACTCCTAATTCAATTGAGAGAAAGAGAGGAAAAGCAGAAAATTCGACGGCAACAATCACAAGACCGCGACAATGACACTGAAAGGAGCACCCTCGCAGTGAGGCTAAGGGCACAACATTCCTCAGTACAATAGACCCTTTTGTTCGGCCTTGTGACCTGCGGCGGGACGGAGGGGGCACGAATTTGCGGAGGAATTCGGAGAGGGCGGCCAGGAGCGACGAGAAACGCCAGGACGACAAGGAAGTGGCCACGCTACCAGCACCGTTAAAACCACGGCCGCATCATGAAGGTCAATACCCTCAAAAGCCCAGACCAGAAGTGCCCCTGAAGGCTTCATGGAACACATTTCTTTTCAATGAAAGAAAGAGCGGAAACAGTAAAAAAATATAAAAAATGACAACTTTTGAAGAAAATTTAAAGTGAAATTACAGAAAGCACATCAATTGTAGAGAAAGTACACAGAACGGGAGAGAGCTTCAGAAGAGCGTAAGCAGCCGCCATCTTGTGAGATCAGTCGGTGCTCATACCAGAGATATTCCTCGATGGGCCGCAGGTGCCCCTGGCTTCGCCGCACCGAACAACAAAGAACACAAAGAAGTGCAAAACCCTCGCCACCGACAAGATCGGCTAGGTTATGAAAGTTGCACCTGATGGGTGCGCGGACACGCTTTCACAATTTGGGGTTAGGGCGGCCGTGGAAAATCCCAGGCCTGTCCCTGCGTCGGTGTTGTGTCCCATGACGCATAGCTGTCTCGGCCCGGGGAGCCCGAGGAGAAGAGAAACCTCAGTACCCAAAATGAATCAAACTCCGAAGGACCAGAGATTCTGGCCGCAAAACCAGACGAGGCAAAAAGAGTGAGACGGAGAGGAAAACAAGAGATGCGGCTGCGGTGGGACTTTGAACGAACGCCTCCCCCTCGGCCTTGCCGTGGAGCACACACACACAAACAGCCTCAAAACGCAGTGTCGCTGGGCCGGCTGAAACTCCACACGCCGTCGCGCACGTAACACGTAGACAAAGTTTAACGGTACAGCACGACAGGTCGGGCCCGGGCCGCTCCCACGGGCGCAACGGGGACAGCCACCACCGGGAAGCACTTGATGTCGTGGCCGGCGTCGCGCGGCCCTGGGGCGCGCACCATTCACTCACTAGCTGCGGGGGGCAACACACTCGAGCCACAACAAACGAGGGGCTCTCACTGGAGGGCTGGAAAAACCGCACAGGAAAATGGCACAGAGGGGCCGCCACACTAAAAGTACGGGGAACGGGTCCCTACCGAGGAGCTGAGGGGCTCGCGGCGCTCGGATCACTGACTCGTACGGGTTGCCTACGGCCGCGCTAGCGCTCAGCGGCCGAGCGCCCGGCCTCCCCCACCACCGCTCCGCTCCCCCTCGCCCCGCCCCGCCTCCCCCCTCGCCTCGTGGAGGCAGCCCGTGCACGCGGCCTTGTGAACCCCGCAGCCAGCACGTGGACCCCTCCCCTCCCTCCTCTTCGCCTCCCCTCCGCCGCCGCCGAAGGGAGGGCGCATCCGGAAACCAGGACGTCGGCGGCGGCCGCGACGGCCTGCCTGGGCGGCTTGGGCGTCGGCCCGCGCGGGGCAGGGGCGTGGGAGGAGGGGGTCGCGTCGCGTCCCGCGGCTACCCGCGGCCCCGCCGGGCGCGGCGGGGCGAGGCGGGGAATGCACCTCGCCATGTCGGCGGGCGTCCCCAAGGTGCATCCTCGGTGCCGAGAGCTCGCTCTCCCTCTCTCTCGCACTCGCTCAACTGCAGCACCCGCCGCGTCCGGTGCGCGCTGGAGCCTGGAACCCTGGAACATTTACCGCAGCCTCATGCCGGGCGAGTGCTCCTCACTCACTCTTTCTCCGTCTCGCCCAGGGCTGCTCCTGGCTGCCGGCCTCTCTCTCTCCCACGCGGGCGCGGGGACAGGACAGGTGCAGGGGCGCCTCCCACACCGGCAGGCCCTGCCCAGCCCAGCGAGCAGCCGCGGCGCCGCCGCCCTTCCGGCGCAGCGCTTGTGAATGGCGATGGCTCGCTTGCCACACACCCATTCATCGGCCATTCATTCACTCTCGCGTTCCCTGATGTTCCCTGCTTCTGCTGCGATCTCCCCGCGGGAGACTGAGCAGGGGAGAGAGCGTGTGAGAAGAGAGAAGGGTCTGCCTGAATTCGAACATTGGCAGGTGCCGGTTTGTGCCCTCCTTGTTCAACCACGGCAGCTGCCGTCATGTCATCGGCGCCGTGTGCTGGTCCCTCCCCACTCGACCTTTTCATCTGCTCTGCTGGCTGCTCGCGAGCAGCAGCAGTAAGTTAGTAGTCAGCAACGACTTTTATGTCTCCAGAAGGCTAGGTCGCGGTCATGTCGTATATTGCTGGGGTGAGGGGGGGGGGTCTCTCTCTCTCGCACACATATTTTCATACCACACACACTCACACACGACAACGACGACAAAGTAAATGAGTTGGCGCAAGAGGAGAACTTTCCGTCGTGTGTGACCTGACGTGTGCGTGCGCCCCCCACCTTGGTGCCGCCGTCTGTCTGGCTGCGCGGAAGCTGCTTATACTTTATCACGGCGGGGACCGTGGCCGGGGGGCCGTGCGCAAACTACGGGAGAGGTGTCCATGGCGGTGCAGTAAGCGGTAAGTACATTCATCATGCAGTCACATAAAACAACTGTTCGCACACCGTGTGTGTGCCTCCAACCGGGTGTATAGACCTTTTCGACAGTGGTTGAGGTTAGGTTAGGTTAGGTTGGAGGCTGCAATTTTTTTCTTTTGAACTTTTTGAAATTTTCGACTTCGTAGCGCAACAACGAACGACTTGTTCCTTTGCGCTACGGAGTCAAAATTTGCTGTTAGGGTTAAGTAAAAATGTTGCAGACAATGAAAGTTTTCACCCCGTCTACCCTCTCCTCCCACCTCACCCTACCGTCGAAAAGGTCTATACCGCTCTAGGCGGAAATCAATCAGCCTGCTTGATGTGAGGCTTTTATTGTGGGACTTTTTAGCAGATGATACCTTACAAACTTAAACTTACTTACACTTAACATACATATAACTATACATGAGTAATGTAAGGTGTCATTGCTTTTACTCTCGAATTACGAAATATTTAAGAGAACCAATAGGAAGCTCATATATTGCGCTAGGCGGGATGGTGGTGTCCCGTCGCCTCGCGTCGCTCGCGCGCGTCCGCCACGCCGCGTCCGCCACGCCACGCGTTGTTGCGCCGAGCCGAGCCTAGCCGAGCCTAGCGGAGCCCTGAGCCGCCCGAGCCGAGCCGCGCCCGAACCGAGTCGGGAGCCGAGCCGCGCCCGAACCGAGTCGGCCGTGCTCCCCACCACCGCTGGAGCCCCGCACCGCCACCCCCCTCCCCCTCGTTTCCCCACCCCAACATCTTGCTGCTGGGCCGAAAAAATAGAAACAAAACCCCGACTTCTAAACTTATATACATAACGACGCGGGGGTAGGGCAGGAGATGTGGGTGCAACTTAACATATTGCACTATTGCGCTCTAAGTGGTACAAGTAGCCGGATTCGCAATCGCCGGTCTTTGAGCTCGGGCTGGTCGGCGTACAGCTCTGGCTTTTGGAGCCATGTGGAGAGAGAGGGCGCCGCGCGCCGCCCTCCGGGCTGCCCAGTGTTTCTGGGAATTCCGAGGGGGAAATTTTGTTGACAACCACCACCCCGAGCGGCGCACACGTGGGCCAGGCGTCCAGGGCCTCATTCTCACACCAGAGTCCTTCGAGGCACTACACGCTGCAGTTTTCGTTTTCGGCATGGGTCCTCGGCCACGAAAGCCGCTCACTGCGGAGCAACGCGAGCGCAAACGCGAGAAGGATCGAGAGCGTGCTCGAGAGCGTGCCCTCACCCTCACTGTGGAGCAGCGCGAGCGTAAGCGCGAGAAGGATCGAGAGCGCGCCCGGGCCAAACGCGATGAAGCACGCCAGCACCAAGAACTAGAAGACCAGGAGAAGCGCGAGCGTAAGCGCGAGAGGGATCGAGAGCGCGCCCGGGCCAAATACGATGAAGCACGCCAGCACCAAGGACTAGAAGACCAGGAGCAGCGCGAGCGTAAGCGCGAGAGGGATCGAGAGCGCGCCCGGGCCAAACGCGTTGAAGCACGCCAGCACCAAGAACTAGAAGACCAGGATAAAGGTGAGTGTACAAGTGTCATAATAATGCTTAGTTTCTAGGGACCGACAGTAGTTCTGAATGTTGTGTGAAATTTATGACAATAATTCTGTTGGAACCATTTG